AGCTCCAACTGTATCTGGTTATGTCTACGTTTATATGCTTCTAAAATCTTGGCTTGAAGTCATTAATGTGGGGCTGTCATTTTTCACTTGTTTTCTTTATTTTCTGTTCACTTAAAGCCTGAATCAACTGTGCCTTATTCTGACATCCTTATAATATCCCAGATTAATTTAAAACAAAAGAGGCTTGTAAAAATTATCTTTAGGTTTAGATATATGGAGTCATGTATACAAACCATTACTAACAAAGCTTCGTAAGATTGTCCTTTAGTCCTTACTATCATCATTGATTCCAAACAAGGGGTTTAGTGTTTCTTGTCTCACCCAGAAAAAAGGTTGATATATCCTGTGCCCCATGTGTCATTGGATAGTTAATTGTTGATGATGCATTTGTGCTTACTTATAACCTTTGTGTTTATTATATTTCGTATATTCTACTTGGTGTCGTGCTTTCTTGTTGTCCAGTAGTCAAATGTTTTCTTTGTACTGCTTTTTAGACACTTTCTTTTTGTGATCTAAAATGAAATTTTTTGGTTGATGTGCAGCAGAGCCAGTTCATCAGAGTTCATAATACCAGTGCATAAATTCTGGAAGAGTCTTGATCATTCTTTTTCTGTTGGAATGAGGTTCAAAATGCGTTTTGAAACTGAAGATGCGGCAGAACGAAGGTGTGACCTGATTCAACCTGCAACTCGTCCATTAAACTAAATTATTTTTAGTCTATAGAGGGGTGGAAAGACCTACTGTACCATGCTATTAAGGTCTTTATTGAATTTTTCTTTTTCTTTTGCAGATACACAGGACTCGTAACTGGAATCAGTGATATGGATCCTGTTAGATGGCCTGGTTCAAAATGGAGATGCCTGCTGGTAAGATCACGGAGCTTGCTTATATATATTAAGTTTTGTTTTACAAGTTTATAACTGAGGTATGTCTTTCAGTTATCAACTTGTAATATTGTCATAGTTTCAAGGGTTAGACTGAAGGTTATTATTAGGAAATGGAGTGTGTTTATCCTTTACAATAGTAATAACTAAGGTAATTCTCATATTATCACTGTTGTTTTAATCTTCTTTCTGACTGTACTTGAAGTTAAACTGAGACCTTAGAGGATGCTGTTCTTGGCAATAACTTGTTTTGTTAAATTATTTGAATTGAATATGGCTTCTTGCTTGAAATATAAGTAGACACTGAGTGTATACTAGTTGTAGAAGTAATTTGAATATTTTGCCAAGGAATCCTGCTTGCTATCTTTCAAATTAGAACTTCTGATCAATAATCAATACTTACCTCTTATGAGTCTACCTTTAGGCATTAAGCAGAAAAACGTGATAAAATAAGGTTCTTGTTTGGTTCGCCTTACGATTTTAAGGAAATAATTCCTGTAATCTCTGTTATTTACATGCCAATCATTAGCATATCTGGATGATTCTTTCTCTCTGAATTTATATATTCATTTGAGTTCTTCAACTTGTGGAGTTTCATGTGATTGTTTTAGATGGTTTCATTTAGTAATGTTGACTAGTCAGACAATGTCTTGTAAATCCCGCTTATCATTACATAATATTGATCCAAATGTTACTAGAATTTATATAGTAGTGGTCTCTGGCTAATTTTTGCAGGTAAGGTGGGATGATATCGATGCTAATAGGCATAGCAGGGTTTCTCCCTGGGAAATTGAGCTGTCTGGTACAATTTCTAGTTCTAACAACTTGCTCACACCTGGTGTGAAAAGGAACAGGATTGGATTGCCTTCAGGAAAACCAGAATTTATGGTTCCTGGTAGGTTCTTCTGCACGACTTAAATCTTTTTCCTGTTTCATGCAACATTATTTGACTTTATTCCTTTGTTCTTCTAACAGATGGAATTGGAGCATCCGACTTTGGGGAACCTTTGCGGTTCCAGAAGGTCTTGCAAGGTCAAGAAATCTTGGGTTTTAACAGTCTTTATGATGGTGCTGATGGTCAGAATCTGCATCGGTCTGAAATAAGGCGGTGCTTTCCTGGTTCCAATGGTTCTGGTATTGTTGCAATAGGAAATGTTGGTAGAGACCCACTGGGGAATTCCGAAATTTCCTGTAGAGGTGTAGGCTTTGGGGAATCTTTCCGATTCCATAAGGTCTTGCAAGGTCAAGAAATTTATGTAAGCCCTCCATATATAAGAGGTCCAACTACAAATGATACTCAAGAAAATGATGGTCTTGGAGTCCGTGATGCTGGTCAGTTTTCGAGAACAAGAAGTGGATGGTCTTCCTTGATGCAGAGCTATAATACTCATGGTCATATACGGCCATCAGCACCATCTGCTCAAGTGTCTTCACCATCTTCGGTGTTAATGTTCCAGCAAGCAAGCAATCCAATTCCAAACATCAATCCTATTTATAGCCTCAATAGCCAGGAAAAGGAGCAGGGGGTTGACAACCGGAGTTCTTTTCGTGCACCTGAAATGTATGGGGGAAAGTTATTGCAATCTTCTACTGGTGACCACAGTTCCCGCGGGAGGGATCATGGAACCTTGGACTCATTTGGCCACTCAAATGATTCTGTTCAACTTGGTGGCTCACAACCTCTTGCAGCTCAACCAGCATTTAGGACTAGTCAAGATTTAGCTTCCTCGTGTAAAAGTAGCTGCAGACTTTTTGGATTCTCCTTGACTGAGGGAAGAGAGGATGCTAATAAGGAGGACGACATGGTGAAAGCGACCTCATCATTGGGTCCTGGAGCTTTTTTACCTTGTATTGGCGAGCAGTTTCACCCAAAGCCTCCAGCAGTGACAAACACAGTGGGAAGCAATTGTACCAAAGTAAGCAACCTCTATGCTGTCAGAGATATGCTTTTTGATATTGCATTATAGTGTAGTCATGAAATAGAGAATGCAGTTCCACAAATAAGGAGTTTTATAGACAGGGTTTTGGATCCCTAGAGCCTGATGAATATGTTGTGATTGGAAAGTTGAAACTTTTATTAGGGCTGCTTACTTGGGTGGAGAAAGGATGAAAAGTGTTTACAATGATAGGGGTGATTCATCATATGGTGGTTTGTGGAGATTAACTGCTGAAGTTTTAATTTTCTACTATTAACAATGATACTTTGTTTTGGGACCGTTATGGTCAAGTCGGGAAGTACTCATTCTAGAATGCCTTGACGATGCATGGAGAATTTGGAGAGTAGTTGGCTTGAAAATGTCAGCATTTTTGTGGTATGCTATCTGATTTGAAGTGCTTCACAGTGCATCCAAGGAATGTTTTCCATGATCATGGCCTACTTTCAGGGTGTGATTGTTATTGAAAATGACTCTGTTTCGAGTTTCACCCCTTTGAATTTAATCTGATATCAATAGTTGTTGACATTGTTCTTTACAGGGAATTCTGCAACATTATCTCAAAAATTATATATACTGATGAAGATGCTTGCAGAAGCAGCTGATAGTGGGCAAGAAGATGCCTACAGTTGCTCTAGTTGCATGTGTGTTTTGATTGGCAAGAGTTTAGCATTATGACTAAAAATTGAAAAATTGTAATTACTTTCATGAATTGACTTGATTGTAATTGCCTCATGGCTATGATAAGAACACCTTGTATTAACCTTTGTGATGGTCTTCTACTTAAGCCTTTTGCAGTCGGCTGAAATGTCCACTCTGGTACATTGAATGTTGTCATGTTTCGGGTCAATTTATGAAGTGTTATTTTCAAACAATTCATCTGGGTTTTTCTGTTTGTTGAATAGCAAGCATTCTTTCAAAGTTAGCTGGAAATGGAACTTTCAAAGACCCTGTCAAATGACTTTTTGGGGGTGAAAGTTAAGAGTGGAGTCGGGTTGGAAATTCAAAAAAACTCTTCAACTTGGTAGCCTCCTTGATTGGATTTGAGACCTATCCTTCTACCCCTAGACATGAATGATTAATGAGCAAACCTTTGGAGTTAAGAAAACAGGAATGTAAAAACCAATGAAGTGACACGCATTTGAAGATAAAACAGAAAGATAGCCAAAACATTGAAGGCAGAACAAGTTGATCTCTTGCGGTTTACCTGGATCAAAATCCGACAGCACCGACCCAGTTCTAGCACTGACCCCCTTCTGGAAGAATGGTGAAAAGTAAACGTGGCCTCGTTTAAATTAGAAGATGTTCGGTCCGCCTGCCTAGTAGGCAAAGGTCCCCAAGGACCGATCCTGCAGTCTTTGTGTCATCGCATCCACTACTGATTTACCGTGCTGTAAAAACAACTGGTTATGCCAGAGTGGTTCTTCTGTGAGATGGTCCCTGACCCTCAGCCAAATTCTTTAATTAGTTTGACAGCGGAAATTATTCGGGGCAATCTTCCTATTGGCTGAAGTCGAGGAAAAAACAAGTTGAACCTGAACACTAAGTTTCGTATTTAAAGAATAACAGCCTTTAATAGTCTGACGCAAACATGTAGATGTAGTGGTACTATTTTGCCAATCTAATGTAAAAAACAGGACCAGAACATTCTGTTGAAAATTCCAGCATCCGAGTTAGAGTAATTGTCTGGTACCCTCGCTAGAAATTGTCCAGAAGGTTCCACCAAGTTTCATCCAATTGCAACCTCAAAGTTTATGGCCTGCGTGATTGAGACACAATGGGGTTCATGATATAACTCTTGACTAAAATAATTTAACCAACATATTGAATAATTGGGAAGTAATTAAAAAATTCTTTCCTGGACATAAAATCTTGACCTCGTAGACAGCAACTGATGTTGTTTTGTCGTCAATCATCACACACATTTTTTAAAAAGGTCGTTTCGTGGAACTCCTCCTGGCAACTGACAATGGCAGTCAAAACAAGTTTCGAATGGGGGAGGGTAGCTCTAGAGCGACAGGAAACAGCTTGCTTAGACTTGGTATAGACAGTCGGATTGTCGCCTTTGTTTCATACTAGTTCATGCATTAAAACCAAGAGTATTTTAATGGATGGAACCGTGTTGCTTAGCATCCCGAAAACAGAGAACAACGTGTGAAGGCAAGATACCTCTAGGATTTTGGGTGAGAGGCTCTGGGAACGCGGACGGTTGGACCCCGCAGGCTCCCGCGCACAGGCACTGCCTGTCGCTTTCCACGCGTGAAAGGCTAACCATAGATTTACAGAATCTTTATTTTAGAATCGCTTTTTCCACGCTATGGGACCTCGACTTAGACTATGGACTGCAGAACGCAAATGTCAAAGAGGAAGTTATGCCATAATTAAAAATGGTTTCACTTCATATCAATTTAATGGTATTATAAGTATTTGTGAAGCTTTCCATCATTAAGGTAAACAAAATGAGGTGGAAAATAGAAAAACAAACAAGTACAAGCCATCTGCTAGCTATGATTTTGGCCGGTTTTGTTGATTCGTTAGTGGTGCCTGCTAAATTTTTTATTTCAACATAGAAATAGATGGTCAAGGAGGGGGAAAAAGGACTGAAGAATCTCGAAATGTCCACGTAAACAACCAAAACTAGAATTCATTCACCACGTAGCCAAGTATTCTGTGGTGTGCTGAGAATTGGGATTGATTCAACTTTTACCATGTCTTGGCTTTTTGTGCACGAAAACGTAATGGATTCCGTAAGAGAACATGGTTTGGGGTCGAGCCCTGGGCCAGAGTATATGTTGACTGTATAAGCAGCCATCCTTGTTGCTTGTATATGTATCTGGGGTTATCCCCCCACTTGCAATATTTCCAGAAAATAGAAACAAAACCCAGGTGGTTCAGAGAGCAAAAGGATAAGAAAACGAGAGATGGCAGGAGAAGAGGCGACAACAAGCTCTGGAACAACACTCGAAAGCACTCCAACGTGGGCTGTGGCTACTGTTGTCTTCGTCTTGATTTTGATCTCCATTTTTATTGAACATATGCTTCATCTTCTGGCTAAGGTATTCAGATTGTAGGGTAGCTTTTACCATGCAAAACTGAACCATTTTCCCATGCATGATGTTCATATATACCTCTCCTTTTTGTTCTGATTTTGATGCTCTTCTTTGATAAATTTTCAGTATTTCAATAAGAAAAGGAGGAAATCTCTTATTCAGGCTCTTGACAAGATCAAATCCGGTTAGAATTCAAGCTAAACGAAACATTTCTCTTTATTTTTCTTCCTTTCCAGTATTTACTAATTAATGAATTTGACATTCTTACTCTAGAACTGATGCTGCTGGGGTTCATATCATTGTTGTTAACTGTGACTGAAAAGCGAATTGCAAATATTTGCATCCCAAAGAACGTAGGTGAAAGTTTTCTCCCCTGCAGTGATTATTCAAATGATAGCGAGGAAGAAGCCAAATGCGAAGAGCAGGTATGTATTCAAATGTTAATCACATCCCTCATTCATATACGTTTTTGGAGTAAATTAAGTTGCAAGTAATCTTGTTTTTGAGCAGGGAAAAGTCTCATTGTTGTCTAGACGAGGTGTGAGGGAACTTCAATACCTAATCTTTGTGCTGGCTTTCTTCCATTGCTTGTCATGTGTCCTCACGTTCACCCTGGGCATGGCCAAGGTAATGTCCTTTTGTTGTTATCCTCTAGCAAATTTTAATGTACCAAATGTCAAAATCCCAGTGTTTGAAGAAAAAGAAATTCAGTTATCTTTTGATCTTTAGATGCCATTTAACTATTATTATGTTGTGCCAGCAATAGGGGTGCAGCTGTTCAAATTTGACTTTTGTAAAACTACTAATCAACTTTTGAATCAAATCAGCCGCTAAATGGCAAGGGAAATTGAAGAGGAAGTTGCACGGAATGCGAACTTTCTCTCAGTTCTAGAGAGAGATAAGTGGGAAAGTGCGACTTGTGTTTGACGTTATGGTTTCTCTCTTTTTTGCAGATGAGGAGGTGGGAATCTTGGGAGGCAGAAACAAGAACATTGGAGTATCAATTCTCAAATGGTAAGCTTTTTGGGGTCTGGGAATATCTTTACCTCACTGAATTATTAAGCCTTTGTAGGCCCAGTACCTAGTAACTTGTTAGAATTCATGTCAGTATTCAGTAATCAATTCATGTAATCACCCACACGCAGATTCCGAATTACCATATAATTCAACTTCACTGTTAACAGTAGGTAGAAGTATAGAATAGGTTTCCCATTTTGGAAAAGTGATATATAGGAAACTATGCTGGTAAAACACATCGGTACCATTTTTCTAATTCTACGTCATTTATGGCGTCTGATTTACTTTCTTCTTACATGACAAGGCAATAATTTAATACCTCTGCAGCAAGTAATGTGCTAACTATTCCTGACATCCTGTGAACTAATTGCTTTTTGTGATCACAATCTCACTTTCCTCCATTAAATAGATCCACGGAGGTTTCAACTTATCCATCAAACATCATTTGCAAGGCGACATCTGAGATTTTGGAGTGAACACAGGTTTCTTCGTTGGCCGGTCAGTATTGGTGCAATGGCACTATCATCCCCAAGAAATAGCCTGCCACGAATTAGAGCATTGGACTGATAGATATGTCGTGTTTTGACATCTTGTGCAGGCATGTTTTCTTCGACAGTTCTATGCATCTGTCTCCAAGGTGGACTACTTCACGCTTAGACATGGGTTCATCACGGTAATGTTAATAAGCCCATCCCTGGTCGAATTAAATAGCACTTAATTACTTCACTTGGGATGGAAATTTTTTTGTCTAATTCCTGGTTGCCTTCTGAATTTTCAGGCCCATTTTGCAGAGGGAAGCACCTTCGACTTCCAAAAATACATAAAAAGAGCATTGGAAAAGGACTTTGGAGTGGTTGTGGGAATAAGGTTGATTTTTGATATGAAATCTTGATGTTTCCCCCCATATTAAACCCAATAGAATGAAGTTAATAACAATATTTCACCACTGGTGTTTCATGTTTTCAGCCTCTGGATATGGATCTTCTCAATGTTATTCATATTCTTCAATGCACATGGTAATTAACTCAAAGAAAATATATGCAATTTTATGGTTAAGCCTGGTCATGCTAAAACATTTCATTTATTGTAATCTGCAGGTTTTTATAATTATCTCTGGCTCCCGTTTTTTCCACTATTGGTAAGTAAAATGGAATGCAGCTAGCCCAAAGAAAGAACATAGCTACATACCAAGGGACTACATAGAATGTTAAGAACAATTACTTAAACAAACTTTGTTTAACAGATGTTGTTGCTGGTGGGAACACAACTGCAAGGCATCATAACTAAGATGTGTCTGGATAGCCATGAGAAATCTCAGGTTGTGAGAGGAACTTTTCTTGTTAGGCCTAGTGATCATTTCTTCTGGTTTGGCTGGCCCAAATTGCTTCTCCACATCATGCACTTCATCTTGTTTCAGGTCAACTCTTTAATCTTTAATTCCTTCCATTCTGCCCTTTTGATTGTTTCCAAAATTGAAAACCAATTAAATTCTCATATGCCAAAATCTAAATCGAAGAACATGTTGGACTTTTTCGCAGAACTCCTTTCAACTAGCGTTCTTCACATGGACTTGGGTAAGCATAAGCCTCATTCTCTCTTTGTTTCTTCCATCGAAGATTGTTTCTAAACTTGATTCAAAAAGTGCAGTACAAATTTGGGCTCAGATCATGCTTCCACAGAAAGACTGAAGACATTGTCATAAGAATAGCAATGGGAGTTT